TTTTTAAAGCTTTGCTGAAAGATTCACATTTAAAAAACTGTCAACACCTCAGTGTTTCTCCCCTACAAGAAGAAAATACCCTGCCATCTCTTCTGAGAAGTGAAATTGTGGCTCTAGAGAGGTCTAGGTTTGTTAAAAATGCTGTTCAGGTGGGTGGGCAGTAAAGCTGGAAAGATGAGCTACATGTCTAGTGCTGAAAAACTAGAAGAAACTTCTTTAGAATATGCCTGTTGCTCTGAAGAAACTGTTTGACAGAGATTCATTCACATGAAGCAATCCTGGGCTGCATCCAGGTGTGGTAGAGAGACCTGAAAAGCCAGTGCTGGTTACAGAATTTAAAATTCCGTGCTGACAGCTATCAGTTATTTGTCAAGGCATTCACTAATGGTGGTTTGAAACAATGAAAGATTCAGAGATACTTTGGAAGACCTCTGCAGCCTAGCACTTTTTGATCATGTTGCCGTGTTCTCCTTTTCAGTCTTCCATGACCCACCCCCCCCACCATCACCCATCTTACCGTAGCATTTTGGGCTGAATTTTATGTACATTCAGTGTCACTGAAGAAAGCAGTGCCATCCATCTTGTGGGGTTTTTTTTTCCCTGCCTTGTTTTTGTTTCTCTTTGCCTCTCGTTCCCATTGTGAAATTGATCCAAGCAGTAAGCCAGTGAAATACACTCCCCCCAACCCAGCAAGAAGCGAGCAGGAATTGTTTAATGACACTAGCAGGTAAAATGCACTTAAACCTACACACACATCATATCCAAGGAGTACAATTTAGGACTAGTAATGTAAAATAACAAGCAGATAAAGTGTATAAAGCACCCACAAATCCCCTGGGACTCTGGTGCTCTGCATTTCACCTCTGCAGGAAGGTTTTGTCTCTGCTGCTGCTCACTAAAAGGTTTTTTCCTGATTTCTGTGGTATCTGTTCTTAAACCTACCTCTTGCATCCTCTCTGTGGCACACCCTTCTACAAATGCATTGCATACTGTGGATTTAAGTTTCCATGTACTGTTCTCTCTGGAGAAGCAGTGCCATGTTCAGAGACAGTGCCATCTCTTGCACATGATTGTCTGATTAACCCTCGGTGGTAGGTCCATTTCAGTGCAAAGTGTTTCCTTCCACCAAGTGTTTTATTTCATATCAGCCTGCACACTGACAAACATCCTGGTGGGACAAATGTGTGTGTGTGTTTATTTTTGTCTCCCGATCACGACTGTGATAATTGTAAACAATTGGAAAGACATGTTTGGAATGCTTGAGAGCCTTTAAAAAAACCTCAAAACTTCAGAGCTGACCCCTGAATTCAAAGAATTATTTTTCAAATTTGGTTGTAGTCCGAAACTAGTTAAAATTATAGTGATACATAGTTGCATATATAGATACAGATTTTTTAAACATCTGTCTTCAAGATGTTTTCTTTTCATCTGGTTTTAGTCCAAAGCTTAATATACAAATATTTTAGCCCAAAACACACTTTCTTTTTCTTTTCTACAAATGTGCATGGAAGAAATTCCCAGTAACATTCTGCATCCTGTAGCTATTGAATGAAATGGATGTTTTGACTAGTTTTGCTGCCAGCACCTGTTTCCAGCATCTGTCTTTAGTGTCAATATGCCAGTGATTGGGATCCTGCTCCAGTGGCGGTACAACTTTGTGTGTTGTTGAACCTGATATATCCTCAGAAAAAACATTTTAAACTCAGATGCAGTATCTGAGTTTAAAAAAAAAAAAAATTTAATCTGCTTTCATTCCCTGATTCCTGATGCACTGCTAAATCAGAGGGACAGAAGTAAGAACATACAGAGCAGTCTGGGTTAATATAAAATAAGCTGATGAAGATTACCTGGAGCTGGAGCTAGCCACATGAAAATCGAAAGGCCTTAGAGAACACCATGTGGCTGAACATTTTTGACAGTTTTTGAAACAAAGACCTTTGAACAAAATTTTTTAACAAAGACCTGTCAAAGGAATGAGGAGCCTTATTTTTGATTTCTGTCTACTTCAACAAGATAAAGAAATACAAGACAAAATATATTTTAGAGAAAATTCTCTATGGGGTCATTAACTCTTTCTACTCAGACATTTGGGTTTAAATTTCATCTGGCCTGTTGTAGGGACTCTGTTGCTGTGTTGAAGTTATCATGTTAAAACTGGGTGCCATTGGAAAGGCTTGCCCGTGTCCTTGCAGTTGCTATCACATTATTGCCTTGTAGCAATAATGGTCATAGCGAGAGTTTAGATGAGTTTGGATGAGCCAAATAGTGTCACAGAAAGCAGCAAGTGCTTCAGTTTGAGAACTTAGGCACAGACTTTAAGGATTGATGATGCTTAGCTGTGAACCTGGGCTAGAAAAAAAAGGTGACGCTGTAAAACTTAAAGCTCAAAAAAAATCTTGCACAGCCATGACAGATGCAGAGAGAGCAGCTGAGGGCATATTTCCATGAAGCATTTAAATTGGAAGGAGTTGCCAGAACATACCAAAGCAGGCGAGAGAAGGTGATATGAAAACTTTCTGAAGCAAAAATCCAAACTGTCCAATACCTTTTCTGTGGACCGTTGAAATAATTCCTGTTTTTCTGACACTTCAGTGATAACAACTCGCATAGTTAAGACACCATGCTTGTGGTTTTATTGCATTTTAGTGCAAGTACTTCAGCTGCAGAACAGAAATAAAGCAGTTTGATGTAATATGGATGTCTATTTGCACTCCTTTTAAGATAAACATTAGGCAATAACCATTTCTTTAGAGCCTGTGTATTGTTCATGTGAGTCTCTCTCTTGTATAGCAGCTCATGTTCATCAACATGATACATTCCTGCCTGATTTTCCAGTTCTGTCTTTCATTGAGGATATTCTTTTCTTTCTCTGATTACTTTTTCTTCTTAGACCATTACTCTAGTTGATAGCTTCAGGTTATCATTGTATCCTATCTCCCTCTCCAATAAGCCTATGATTGATACTAATCTTCCTCATGGGACACATTTATAGGATGCAGGATGGAAACTACTCTCTAAATCTTAGCTTTATATGTGCTGACAATTTGCAAGGTTGCACCTTATATTCACTTCAGGTGGCTTAGGGGAAAACATCAGCACCTGGTAATCGTGCTTCCAAATAAGAAGAGAAATGCAGTCCATATACCAGAAGTTATCTTGTTGTTCAGTCTCCTGTGCGACTTCTGTCTGTGTTTTATGTAACTGGAAAGGGCTCGGTTTCTAGAGGTGGGCAAGGTCCTGTAACCAAATTCGTGCCTTTTCTTTCCAGTGAGAGAAGCCGTATTTTAATTAATCTAATGGAAGCTTTGACTAGCAGGCAGTCGCCTGAAAAAGAGTAAATGTGCCAGAAAACACTTCAAACAAGCAGAAGACTCTTCACTGACTAATGTGCTTAATGGTACTTTTCTAAGAAAATTATCCCAGTGAAAGCTTTATGGTGTGCATTTGTTTTTCTGTTTCCCTTTTCATAATATTGCTTCATGTTTTGAAATTGAATTAGATGTGTCTGAGGACCTTTTGAAAATAGAATTATTATATTTTTACTACAGGTTTTGCAAATGCCCATCAGTATAGTATCATGGAAAACAAAAATTTTCCATTCTTTGGAGGAATAAAACCTAGGGCGCTGTGATGACTAGTGTGATGCATGCATTTGCTGAAGTTTGGCTATTTCACTGTTTCTACTTAACAAATATCTGAAGTCAGAGTCCAGTTATATAATTAGCTCTGAAGAATCAATAGGAAATGGAGATGCTAATTTTTCCACAACATTTGCATACTCAAGCTCCGCAGCCCAAGAAACAAAGCGAAGTAATAAGACATTCATTTGTTTTATCTTTTGTCGTTTTAAACAGACATGCATTTATCTTTATGAACAGACTTGCCAGACCTTTTTTGAATTGCAAAGTTCTGCTGCAAATGCTTGTTATTTGGATTTGCATAAGGATTAACAATGCTGGGCAAGTGGCATCTCCTCACCCTTTCTGTTTACTTGTGTGATGTCAGTCACTGGGATACAGTTTTCAAGGCAGCCAGTGCTTTTAGTTCAGTGGATAATGCAGCTTGCTTTCATGGCAGATTCTCTAACTTTCCGAAAGTCTACTTCAACAAAACTTGTAAACGTATTTGCTCAGAGGACTTTATTCCCCTCCTCTTTACAAGCCCTCTGTATCTGCTAGCATAAGGGTTAAAAAATAAAAATTGATGAAACTTGAGGGGAGAGTCTGAGCTGGCATGCATAGTGTAGAACTGAAGCTACACGCCCTGTCTGTACATACATGTGACAATGTCATGATCAAAGCAAAATCATCTCCTAGATCTGAACTTGGCACCACAAAATCAAAACTCCCAGAGACTTGAAAAGTGCGTGTACCACAGAAAGTTGAAGTTGGTTGGAGTTCAGAACTCTCTTCATGCTTTAAGTGCTTCAATCTGGTTTTTTGTTCAGCTTTTTATACACAGAAGTGTTACCTAAAATACTCTGATATGCGTCTGAATAATTTGTACTGTTCAGAGAAGACTAGTTTGAGAGCATCATTGCGTTGCGTGTCAGGTAGATGGGACTTGAAAAATACCAAAGCAACTGCGTTGGTATGTTTTTTCATTTTTAGTTCTTTTCATGTTATTACGAAAGCACTGCTCCAACATCCCAACATCAATATATTACAAAGCAAATATCAGAGAACTTGCATTATTTTCACAGGATCATGTCTCCCAGAGTACTTGCATTGTGCACAGCTGTACTTCACTAATGAGGCAGCTTGAGCCCTACAGCTTGCTGCATCCAGTTACAGAACAGAATTTATTTCGCAAATGTGAAGCTTCAGGGTTTATATTCTACTTTAAGGTGATTGTTGGGTATTTCTCAGTGAAAAGCAGATTTGGCCATACTATTGTCAGTCTTCTAGGAAAAATATTAAGGAAGGAGGCGCACCGATAGAAACAATATGTATAGCTTGGTCATGAGGGACAGACGCAATGGCAAGAGAAGCTTTGTACCTGGAGCAGTGCTGAGTGACAGGGGCTCTCAAGAGCTGGAGCAGCCGTTTGTGATGTGCCAGCAATGGATTGGCTGGAGCTCCTGCACAGCTTGGGGTGCCCGTTGTGATGGGGGATTGTCCTCGAAGCCGCTGGAGAGGCAGCCAGCCCAATGGAGCAGTGGTCCCAAGCCAGCAGCTTGTGAGAAACCTCAAAGCTGCTCAAGGCTATGAGAAAGTAAAAAGTTAGAATGGAAGCTGCCAGGACAAAACACGATATTACTGGCAATGCATTAATTACTCAGTGTTGCTGGTGGTGGTTCATGAAGCAATCAAGAACAAACCATAAGTAATAAATTACATTAAACATGGGGTGAACACAGGGCTCATTATCGTCACGTAGGAATGAGTTCTGTGCACAAGGCAAGGAACATAAAAAGCAAATACTGAGGTAACACAGTGAGTGTCACAAGCTAGCTGTTGTGCTTAGGCCAAGCATAATGGGCACTAGGTAGGGGAGATGTGAAACTTCTGCCAATGAAATTACCTGCTTTATAACAAAAAGAGAACGCTAGACTGCTCTGGATAAGCACACTTTCTCCTGAACCAGTAAGACTGCCTCTTGTAGTGTTTGTATGTGCTTTTGTAATCGTTAATATAGCCCTATACTGAATTAATTCAATTGAAAATGGAAACAGTTTTGCTTTCCTGTATATCAGTCTTCTTATTTCTGCCGCTGCTTTTACTTTAGTGGTCAGTTTGGGAGCTGTTGCAGAGGAAGTTGTTGGTTTAATAATAAAGTTCAGGCAGTTAATACAGAGTGAAGAAGCCCTATAGCTTTTCATTCCAGATCAGACAGAAGACAAGCATGTGGGTGCTGGCTAACAAAATGCTGTACAGGTGTTGCAGTGCAAGAGACAAACATAGCTGTCGAGTACCTTATTGGTATTTTGCACTTTCAATCTCAAATGCTTAGTTAAAGGTCATTCATCCAAAAGGAATTTGGATATTCTTTAAGCTTTCTCAGTCTCTTTTGCTGTCTCCCAATACACTTTGAAGTAATTTGTAGTATTTCCAGGTGTATCTATGGGGAATGTTGGTGTTGAGGAACTGACAGGTGGTCTTTTTCTGCTGAACTCAGTGATGAGCTGTTCTTCACTCCAGAAGACTTTTTTTGTTATTGGCCAGGTCATCATTGCCAAGATAGACTACTCTATTTTTTATTTATAGAAGGAAAACTTTTATACTACTGATAATGGAGCGATGTGAACCCAGGGGTCTTGAAAGTAGGTCATTTAGTACTCAGTACAGGAAAAAGTGTGTTTTTCAGTGTTTCTGGTGTTACAGGAGGGAATTGTCTTGTTTTCTAACTCTTGGCTTTAAAATCAAGACTTCTGTAAGCAAAAAAAAAAAATCATTTGAAAATAATTACATCTAAGAGTAACATATTTTGAATCAGGAATAACATTTTTCCATTGATTTTTTCCAAGCAATAAAGTATCTGAAAACAACATTTTTCTATCATTGGACAACATAGATTTTAAAGTCGGTAACGGAACAGATATTGCCTCAAAGTGGAAAATACAGAAACAGCTGTGGCATTGTTTTTTGTTTTGGTTTGTCTGTTGGTTGGTATTAAACAAATCAGAGGCATATGATACAACAACAGTACTTACTGGGCTATAATCTATGTAAGTGGAAGTTGCCAGGAGTCAGTCTGGCCCATGCATGATACTTGGAGCAGTGCAAGGCTGCACAAATTTCTTGTGGCCACTAAGATGCTGTCTTGGTGTTTACCAGAACCTAGCAAGGTTCACCTGCTCCTTTCAGTCCCTTGGGATAGCCCATCTATCCCAGAAAAGCACGCTGATTTTGCCATTTTCTGGGGTTCTAGCGCTGTGAGCTTGCTGTCTTGTAACCTCTTTTCTCCCTCCCCCCATACATGTGTTTAGGTGACTGGAACGAGGAGGTAATTTGGGCAGTTTATTTGGCTGGTAGTTGGCTTGTTCACTCAGAGCCCTGAGTATTGCTGGGGCTGAGCTGTGTTCTAGAAGTAGCCACACGCACTGCCATGGTGTGCAAGGTGCTGTGCGTGTAGTTTAGGTACACACAAAACTGGGACTGCTTATTGGCACTGGGTGCCATTAAATGCCAGCAGCTTTTACATGCAGGTTTTGTTACATTTCAAGGTAATTAATACAGATGCCATAAAACTCACCTACCGCTCACCCTGTCCCTTTTCTGAGCACTTTGAAGCAAGGCTCATGAAATAAGGGTTGCATCGCCTACCTAAAATATAACTCTTATGTCATGGGTTTGCTTTTTTTTGGTTTGCCTTTTTTTTTAACAAATATCACTGTAATAATTACCGTAACAGAGAGCTTTGTGTGGAGTTAATGTTCTTCTGGCTTAATGGCCCCTGGTTATTCTCAGGCCATCAACTTTTCCCAGCTGGTCATCAATCCCGAAGAACTGCCTTGTGCCTCCATTAGTATTGCTTAAGTAGATGACATTTCTGGTGCAACCACTGCCTCCCAATGAGATGGTATTACAGCCAATAGCTTTTTCCCCCCTTGCTTTCAATATTGTCAAAGCATTATAAACAGCTGGCAGGAGAATGTTGTGGCTGTTGGCTGTGAATTCCTCTGACAATTTTCAGGTGTGAGTTTTGCAGATTCCGACTGAAAGCATCTGAGTGAGGTGAGTGAAAATGACTTGCTCGGAGCAGCGACACGGGCTCAGCCCCCATGCATCATTCAACAAGAAGCTGGGCAATACCTGAATTCAGTCTAAAGACTTTTTCCCAGAAGGAACAGTTTTCAAACAAGATCTGGGACTGATGTTTTGGGGGATGTTAATGTTTATCATCTAGCAAATGTCGACATCCCCTCCCTCAACCCCCTCCCCAATTTTCCACAGCTCCACTGATGGTCGCCCTTGTTTCCTAACAATTGATGCGTTCTCTGGCAGACTTTTAAAAGAAACAAGTTGTAGCTCAGTAGGCCAGAAACCAGCAGAGATTGTTTAGGTGAAAATGTCTTGCTATGTGGATATTCAAACCCACGTACATTAACATTGGTGCTGACTACATTTCCTTTAACCTCATTAGCACTTCATCTTGCTTTCCCAAGCATGATGGTGGAGCAGCTAGTTCACCATAGAGCCTTTTGCTAGGTAATTCATCAAAGTGGCAGATGAAAGCTTAAAGGAAAATGCGTGTAAATACTGCATTAGGAGCCTTGGCTCACAAAAGCATGAACATTTCTACCCATATTATTAGCTCTGGCTTATGATCCATATACGTGAAAGAAAGGAGACTTTGCTGTTTGGGGAGGATGGAGATACAAAGCTTACTGTTGTGTCATTACACAAATTGTATAGTTAGTTACTTTGTTTTTAATTAAAAAGCACTTCGTCATTCATTAGGTATTCTCATAGAAAACAAGATCAGACTGCAAGGACTTACTACCTTCAGAATTAAAAACAAGTTATTTGAGTAAAACACCCCCTTCAAATGCTAGCGGCCAAAGCATTTTCAACAGGGAATTAAGATTATCTCAAACTTAGGTTATGTCTTTTTTTCAGCTTTAGAGATTTAAGCTGAGCCTCACAGCACACTGATTTAGTCATTAGATTCCTATATACATGTGGTTGATACTAAGTGTAATCATATGTCCCTGTAATGTCTCAGCATTGCTAATAAACTCACCACGTTTATACCTGGAGACATGCCAGCTATGTTTGTAGTGGCGTGAACCGTGAGCTGCCATGGAGAGCCACAAGGTTTGATCTTGAGGTGCCAAAGGTTGTCAAAGATGGGTTTAGGTTGCTAGTGCTCTTCAGAGCCAATGAATACTGACACCTCCTCGTATCAGCCATGGGGCCATGGGGCCAGGCCAGTGCCACAGTGCAGGAGACCACTCCTCTGGGTGGCATGCTGGGTGTCTGATTTGGAGCCTTTGGAATTAAACGAGCCTGTTACTCACCAGGAGGGTGTGGGAAAGCCATTCTTCATGGTAAATGATGAAAGTAAAATTCTGATTGACAGCCTTAGGGAAGAGGATCAGTAGATCAAAATCATCATGAACGAAAATAGCCTTCCAAGGAACCTCAGACTGGTGAGCACAGTTCAGTGTGTTTGCCTTTTTTTTTCCCCCCAAAGGAATGATAAGACAGACACTCTGTTCTGTAATCTGATTTTACTGGTCTTAAATGCTGCAAGATACTGTTTCACGGGCGGCCACCAAGGCACACCTTCAAGCAGTATTTATCTTCCAGTTTATTGTGTTCTCGTTAGAAAGTAGCACTTTGGGGATACTGTTAACCCTTTGCCCCTTTCTAGTTCTCATGCTGAGCAGCAGATACACTTACATACTCCTCTTACTGGCATCTGTATTGATGGCATACGTCAGTAATATGACTTATAATGCATTTTCATTTTCATGAAAGCTTGTTTTACTCTGCTGATTCCATTAGGTCAGACACTCACTGAACAGGCACCTCCTGTTCCATTTCATTGTGTAACTTCTAAACATGACCTGACAAGCTAGAATAAGTTCAGTGCACTAACTCACTGTCAGGAAATACACCCAGACGTTAATGACCAGCTCTGACTGCTTAAACACAC